GCTGAACAGCGCCAGGCCCAGGACAGACCGTGGGACTCCACACACAACCTCCTGCAGGTCTGACATCAAAGGAGGTCAAAAAGGGGGGATCTGCACTAGGCCTGATTGAGTTCAGCACGTTCAGTAAAGATCTGTGAATGGGTACACAGGAAAATCCCCACGCTTGCAGATGGCACCATATTATCCTGGGTAGCCAAGGGCCAGGCTCACGGAGAGGAGCAGAAAGACCTCCCTGAGCTGAGCGAGCGGGCAACAGGACGGCAGATGAACTTCAGCATCGACAAGTGCAATATAATGCACACAGGGAAAATAACCTCAACTCCACGTACGTGGCCTGAGGTCCTCAACTAACTCTAGTGACTCGGGAAGGAGACCTTGGAGTCACTGTAGAGCTCTTTTAACATGTCAGCTCAGTGGGCAGCAGTGACAAGTTGGGCATCATAAAGAAGGGAAATGTAAGTGAAATGGAGATCACCCTCGTGCCCTTATATGAATCTGTGGCGCGCCCGCATCTTGAATCCGGTGTGCAGGGCTGGTCCCTGCATCTCAACGAGGCTGTCACAGAATTGAAAAAGGTGCAGAGAAGGGCAACCACAGTGATCAGGGGCCTGGAGCAGCTGCCAGATCAGGAGAAACTAAAGGCTGGGACCCTGCAGCTTGCAAGAGAGAAGCCCGAGAGTGGACAGGACAGAGGTCTGTAAAATCCCTTTGCTCCCCAGACAAAGGGAGCACGGAGCTGCTGTTCACCAAGCCCCTGAACTAGCGCCCCCCCAAATCCATGGGAGACAGGTCTGAACTAACAAAAGGAAGGGCTTTTTTTGCCCGCTGTGCAGTTAACCTGTGGAACTCACTGCCACAGGAGGGCTGCAGGGGCAGATGCCACTGTCAGGGACAGGACGCCAGCCTGCCCCCGCCTGCACTGCTGACGTTCTCACGACACGGCTCCATCGACTACCACCCTCTGCTTGCGGCTACTGAGCTGGCAGTCTCCCCCGCGCGGCCGTCCGGCTTAGCCCAGGTCTCCAGCTCACAGGAAAGGCCCGGGGCACTGCCACGCCTCGCTAGGGCCCGGGTACACGATGCCCGCTGCGTTCCCTTCCTGCACCGCAGGCCCTGGCTGCCCCCGCCCACCCGGGGCTCACCTCCTTGCTCATGACCATGTTGCACATGCACTCCGTGGCGGCCAGGCGGATGAGCTCGTGCTCCTCAAACATGTAGCCCTCGATCATGGGCACCGCCTTCTCCTTCAGGATCTTCTGCCTGCAGCGAGGAAGGGACAGCGCTAGCAGGAACCCGGGGGAGGGGGGTGCTTGGCAAGGCCCCCGCAAGCTGGGGTCAGGGCTGTGGGTGGGGGAGGCTGACGGCGCTCCCAGGACACAGCCCAGGATGACAGCCGGAGATGAGGCGCTCTCCCCTCCCGGGCCTCCGGGCCCTACCTCAGCTGCTCGCTGGTCCCCGCCAGGTTGGTCAGAGCCATCAGCCCCTCGAAGTTCTCCAGGCCACTGCGCTGCAGCTGCAGGAGGCTCACCAGCGGCCGGACCACCTCGTAGATCTAGGGAGATGGGCAGTCAGGGGCTGCGGGGCCCCCCCGAGCCGCGAGGCCAGGGCAGGGATGTCGCCACCCAGCTGGGCTCGCATGAGCCTTGCCAAGTCCAGCACAGATGGGAACAGACCAGCCCAGGAGCCCCTGGCACGGCCCCTGTCCGAGACCTTGGCCTGTAAAGGACACGGACACGTCCCGCGGGCCGGGCGGGGAGGCGGGCTGCAGCCCAGGGGTAACGAAGAACTATGCCTCCCAGTCAGGCCCCCTTCCCCTCCTCCCCCCATATCAGCCTCTTCGGGGCCCCTGGCTGGGGGGGTCCACATCCTGCAACACAACCCCCTGGGGCAGGACCCCCCACACTGCGCCCGGCCGTGCTACCCGCTCTCCGGGGAAGGCCATCTCGGGGTTGGAAGTGATGATGATCTTCGCCAGGGCCTGTGCAGCCTTGGCCTGCCCCACCTCGGTGCCCTCCAGGGACAGCGGGATGAGGGCCTGAAAGCAGAGCCGCAGTCAGCACCGGTCCCGGGGGGGACGGGCGACGCAGACGCCCCACGGGGCCACGCAAGGCCCAGCCCCCATAGTTGCACTGGGGCACGGGGACGTCCAGAGTCCCCCCAAGTCAGGCCCAGCCCAGGTCCCGTCCCACCGCCCATCGCAGCAGCACCCACCCCGCATACACAGCAGGCCTGGACACCCTCTGGGCCACGCCAGGGTTGGGCCTCACCTTTCCTCCTCCCTGGGCGACCACGCCACCCCGGTCCTCGGCATCCTCCACCAGGGCCAGGAACACCCTGCGGGCAC